TGTTTCCGAGTTTCATTTAAAAGAAAAAAAGGAGAGAGAAATATGGAGAGAAAAAGGAAATGAAAAGAAAGTAAAGTGAATTTTTCTGTTCCCGAATTCGAGAGAAAGGAAAGGAAAATTATTTTTCTTTGTGTTTCTAAATTGAAAAGAAAAAAAAAACTAAAAATGAATAATTATACCCTTGTCAGAGAAGCAAAGATTCTTTTTCCTGTGATGTTGTACATGAATTCTCTTCTCTCCAAATCTCTCCGATTTGGGAGGAAGATTAGGAGAGAAAAAAATACTGTGATTTTCTTTCATTTCTTCCTAAATTACTTCAAAAAATAACCTCTAGAAAACTCTTAGACTTTTTCTTTCTCTCCTATTTTGTTCTTTTCTACCGTTTCCGTCTTTAATTTCCACTGGGGGAACAGGGTGTTAAAACAACTTGATCAAACTAAAATGGTCAACACAATGTACAATAATTATTTCATAACGTACAACAGAAATGAACAATTTCTTTGAATATTAGAATTATCGCTCTGGAAACAAGTATTTACCGGAGTATAAATTCAGAACCATTCGGTTTTAAGTCATCGTGTTCGTCCATCTGAGAATCGGGTTCTATTGCTTATGGATTTCATGGATTTCATGGCTTCTTCAGCCATTAACAAACCAGCCAATGTTCATATCAATAACCTCTCCACATCTCCTCCAAATCTCCAAAAAAAAAACTTTCAATTTTCTCTCAAGGCTAGGTGTGTACACAATTCTGTTTCAATTTTCTCCCTGGACTAGGTGTGTTCACAATTCTGTTTGTTGATGTGCTTTTACGCTATCATTTCATTTCATGGATTTGTTTTTGCATTATCAATAGAGCTTGCAACTATGCTGCTGTGTGGTTTTCCTAATTACTTCAAAAGAAAAATAGGATTTGTGCATTTCCTATTGTTAGAGCATTCATTGAGGCTCTAGTTAGATCCATTACTGTTGCACTGAATTTATCGAATTTTGTAAGGAAATTTGACCCGAGCTCACGATGTTTTCTATTTCTGAATAGTTCTTAAATTGTTATAGACTTATAGTACTTTACCAAACTTCAATCCAGATCAAAAACCCTTCTTATTCCAAAATGAAGGTATATATACAATAGCAATTGTTAAAAATTTGTCAACCACTTAACTAAAAACTGTCATATTTGATTCCAACCCATTTTGACTACTGCTTCGAGACTAAATTACAAAATTGGTCCCTTTGGTTTGCAGCTTTTTTGGTTTAGGTCCAAAAAGTATTTTCTTTTTCAGTTTTGCTCCCTCTTGCAGGGTTTCATCATGTTTTTGGACTCTGTCCCATGTAAATGGACTCTACCTAGCTTCTTTCTTTATGGAATCATCTCTACATTTTGGATTTATAGATACAAGGATTCAAAAAAATGCATTCAAATTGTCTACCAGGTTAGAATGTATGATGCAAAGTTATCCTAAAACATTGCCTCCATTAGCTAGGTTGGATTTTGTAACGCTCGCGTTTCCAGGCTAGGCATTATCATTGATGTAATAGTCTAGGTTAACCCTTGTAACTCTTTTTGAAGTATTAATGATGAAATATTTGAGTATTATGTGAATTATGTGTTTATTTTCTTAATTATTATAATTTAATGAATTAAGAATAAAATAAGCGTCAAATTTGAAGTGTGGGATAAGCCCGATATCTTTGCATAAATATGTATTGGTCGAAACAAGGATTCTGAAGATATAAAGAATGCCGAAATCCGAGTTATAACGAAGAAGTTATGACCTGACAAAGTTTCGCGACAGAACCGGCAACGCTGAATGACGTAAAAAGTGGAATTTACGTTAGAGAGATATTTATCCTTAGTGATCTAAACGAAAGTCGTAGAGTTTGTTAAACCGAGAGCGTGCATAAAAAGAACTCCAAAACTGACTTCGTATGAGGAAGTTATGATTTTTTGAAGTTTCGACTTAGCAGTATGCAGCCCGAATACTCGATTTGAGATCGAACGGTTTTTAGCCGAAACAATATAAACGAGAATCAAAGATCTCGTTAATTGTAGTGAAACGATAAAAAGATAGGCGAAAACGGACGTCGGATGAAGAAGTTATGAATTTATAACGGAGTTTTCCTGTCCCGACCTACTAAAATTAAATAATAAAAATAAAGTCAAAATTAGCCAACGGAGTCTATAAGAAAGTTGTAGAGCGTAGTCTCACCTACGCGGGGATATAAAGAACGTCGAAAAAGGAGTTCGTATGAGAAATATATGAATTTTTGAAGTTTATTAAATATTTTCGATATTTAATTTAAATATAAAATACCGATATTATCCGAAGGGGGGGAGTTAGCGACCCTATCCTCATTACGCCCAACGTAATTTCAATTTACGCCCAACGTAAATCGAAGTTCCAGCCCCCTATAAAAGAATGTCGAGGGCAGCCGATTCTTTTGCTTATTTCTTCCCTTTCTCTCGCGTTTTTGCATCGTTTTTCGTGAAAGAATTATCCCGAAGCCCCGGTATCATTCCCGAGCCCCGAAGAAAGTCCCGAATCCCTGAAGATCCCGAGAAGTGCAATTCCTGAGCCGAAGCTCTGCCCGCGAGGAGTCCGGTTTTTGTGAAGATCTTCCAGATTTGCCGAAGAATATTACTTCTATAAGCCATAGTGCTGTCCGATCATCTTCTGATCAAGTGAGTGTGTGGTCACTTTCTTCTAATGCATAATTATGAAGTATTTTATACGAAATACATGTTATGTGTATATTTTGTAGTTATATGCGTGAATGTATATTCACTTTCTTCTAACTCATAGATATGATTTATTCTCTATGAAATACGTGTTATGTGTATGTGTCTCATCTTTTGTTTGGAATATGTATTGAATGAGAATGCTATACAGGTTTTAAACTATGTATAAAAATATATATTGTTATCTACTAATATGTCGGGTAGAACATGGGTAGATAGTTGTGTGATAAACAGATGAGAGGCCTCGATGTTGTTTTTAATTCAGTCATCTAGCGGAGTTTAGATGACGACCACAAACTTTTCTAGACAGTCCTGTGGAACGCTAGCAGGTTCGCCACCTGTAGGTGTTAATGAACTTGGGTGTTCATTCGCTGTACTCCATCCCCCTCATGGTTGCCTTATTTGACATATATTGCCGGGAAACCCCGAATGCATGTGTTGTCGTCCCGATGAAATATTCTAAGACTAGGTCCCTTGTGTTAGTTGTTTTAGGGACGTAAAGTGAGAATAACGGGAATGGGTAATTGGATGATTGTTGGTTGGTGGAATTAAATATAATTATTTATTGTGGTTGAAAACCCTATATGCTCACCAGGCTCCCAAGCCTGACCCACTCAGTTTTATTTGTATTACAGGAAGTGGCGCAAGGGCATAAGATGGATGAATCATCAAGTTGTTTTGTTTAGAAGTCTGTATATGTATATATTTGTTGAATGACTTGTAATGTTATCGTTTATGCTTTATGGTCTGTATCGAAACATGACATCCCGAATTTTGATTATATAATGAAAATACATTTCTTTTATGAAATGCTTTGGTAAATATTATTTTATCACGTTTTGTTTTTGGGAACAAATTCCGCAACTCTTTCAAATCAAAAGGATTTACTCTGAAATTATTTTAAAAGCATAAATGAAAATCGGTCTTTTATGGCCGAGATTTTGAGGATGTCACAGATTTACAGTAAGTAAAATGATTATTCCTTATTTCATACATTTATAATATTTCCATTCTGACCACCTTTTGAATTTTTAGGTGACAAATTCATGGTTTGTAAAAAAACAATCCAGATGATGATTATTCCTTATTTCATACATTTATAATATTTCCAAGTAAGATGACTATATTTTCAGATCAAATTGCAAAAATTGTCTATAATTAGGGACCAAAATAGTCATTTCATTTTAGTATGATTAGGAACCAAAAACGTTACAAAAGCCTCAAATAAGGACCAAAATTGCAACATGAATTTTCTGGGAATAAAGATGCAAAAATTGACTACACCCAGAGACCAAAAATGTAACTTACTCTCATGTTAATAATCTTAGAGTAAATTATGTTTTTGGTCTTTGAGTATAGCCGTTTTTTTCAAATTTGGTCCCATAGTGTATTTTTCTTGCAATTTTGGTCCTTATTGGAGGTTTTTGTAATGTTTTTGGTGTTTGTTCCAAGTAAAATGACTTTTTTTTCTCCCTAAAACAGAGCTGATAAGAATACTAATTAAGACAATAACAGGAAAAATGGAGGAAAAGAAGAGAGGATGAAGTTCCAAATTGGAAAACCATGAAACTTCCAAGAAGTTCTTCCTGTCAAAGCTACTAAATAACATTCCCCCAATAAGATATATGCATTTTACTTATCATAGGGACCAACAACGTTACAAAAATCTCAAACAAGGACCAAAATTGCAAAAATTGAAAATTGAGCTACAATCAGGGACCAAAATGTAAATTACTCATAATCTTATGTTTTATTTCTTTGGGTAGGTGTTAATATAGATGATCTAGTTTCAGAGGTGTTTAAGGTTTGGTCATGTGTTGTATTTGTATGGAAGCCAAGCCAATATGGGATGTTACATTCCCTGATGTTAAAAGAAAAGTAAATTGAAAAAACTTTGTTTTTGAACATTTGTCACTCGATTCAGTTGATGATGCATGATAAAGGCAATAGTGCATTTCCCGAAGAAATGACTATACCTTTATTTAATTATACTTTTAATAAAATTAAAAAATATTTAAATATATAACTAATTAATAACTAAATATTTCATCTTTTTCAAATACTTCAAAAATTGTTTCATCTTTTTTGTGCACCTCTAATTTCCATCTGGGATGTCTTATCTTATACAATACAGTGAAAAAGGCCACCCATGGTGTTAGTGGCAAATTTATTGATACTAGGGACTTAAAACCGCTTTCCATGTTACATTACATTACACAATGAAAAATAAGAAGTGAAAATATAAAGCTTATATGACAAACTACTTTTGCAAATTCTGAATGAACACCACCACCTTTACATAAACCCAATCTTTTACATTATCATAAAACCGAAAAAAAGCATGTCTCCCTCGTTGATTTAAAAGCAAAACCGAACACGCTATCCAAAATCCAGTAGCAAAACCAGTCCCCCCACCAATATAAAACCATCCCATGAGTTCATCATCTGTGTCTTCCCCATCACCCTCACTTTTACCAATAAGACGTGGTGCTTCTGGTTCTTTGTCTCCATAACATTTTTCGGTAAGAGGAGGTCCACATAGACACGTGTTTCCATTAAATCTTGAAGGTGGAAAGGTATGGAATTGAGTGCTAATTGGGATTCTCCCTGACAAGTTATTAAATGACACGTCTAGGTCATTCAGTAAACTCATCTCAGACATGCTTGATGGTATCCTCCCAGAAAAACTGTTTCTAGATAAATCCAAAGTCAAAAGATTTTTCATCTCACCAATTTTCTGTGGAATCTCTCCAAATAGAACGTTCTTTGACAAGTTCAAGACAATCAAGTCATAAAGATTGGTAATTTCATTTGGGATTCGACCTGTTAGATTGTTGCTTGACAAGTCAATGTTCTTCAACTGTTTAAGAGTGCTAATGAATTCATGTTCATTTCCTTGCCACTGAATCATTGCATGGTCAACATATGTCTCTTGTTCATATCTTGTATAAAGTTGTACATCTTGTGAAAACCCTTGTTGAACCATGCCTGTAAGATTACTCAAACATGAGGGAATAGTTCCATGGAGATTGTTGCTTGACATGTCTAGAATTTGAAGATTATCTAACTGACATAACTCTAAAGGGATTGTTCCAGAGATTTTGTTTGATTTTAAGATAAGAACATACAACTCTGAGAATCTTTCCCCAATCCAGACAGGCACATTACCAAAAAACTTATTGGCCCCTAAATTCAATGACTTTAAACTCATGCAGTTTTTTAAAGAAAAAGGCAATTCTCCAGAGAAGTTGTTCTTGTATAAATACAACATCTTGAGTTGTATCAAATTTCCAATAGAGGGAGGAAGCCTTCCAAAGAGATGGTTGTGTCCGAGATTAAGAACTTGTAGTTCTTTGAAAAGCCACAAACAATCTGGGAGTTGCCCGGTTAATGAGTTATGAGAGAGGTCAAGAAATTCTAACAACCCATCAACAATTTGGCATATAAAGGCGATCCCTCCAGAGAATTTGTTTCTGGAAAGGTTTAATGTTGATAAAGCGGAAGGAACATTTGGTATTGGACCATAGAATCTGTTGGAACTCAAATCAATCACTGAACTCTGGGCAAAATTTGATGATAAATCTGGTACTTTCCCGCTAATATTGTTGGAAGAGAGATTCAGATGTTGTAATTGAGAAGGCCCTATGTCCCAAAACTCCATAGGAACTATGTCTGAAATTCCAGTATTGGAAAGATCAAGAAATGTAAGATTTTTTAGTGTCTGAATCCACATGGGGAAGTGAGGCCCTAGCAGCTTACAAGAGCTCAGATCAATATACTTTACATAAGAAAGGTTTGACAAGTGATATGTGGAAGGAACTCTAAGATTATTAAAAGACAAGTCAAGAGTTTCAAGCCTAGGTAGTTCCCACAGTTTCTCACTTATACTTCCATTTAAATGATTATTAGATAGGTCCAAATATGTTATGGATGAAAACTTTTGGATCTCGCTGGACAATGACCCTGAAAATTGGTTTCTTAGAGCATACAACATTTTTAATGAAAGTGATACGCATCCAGACAAGTTGTTGAGAAAATCAGGAAATTCAACCACTAAAGAGTTGTTGTCGAGACTCAAAATTTCCAAACTACAAAGATTAATACCAAGATTTTTGGGCATCACATCTAACATGTTGCTAGAGAGATCAAGAAAACGAAGCTTATTTCCTGTTAACGGGAGTAACCAACGATACATGGATGAGGTGAGATTGTTGTTTCCAAGAAAAAGGGATTCAATAGATGAAGAAGAGTTAAGAATTGAAGAAGAATATGGATACACAACATGTGAGAGCTCACATCCATCTAAACTTATAGATGAGAGTTTCTTGAGACTAAGAATTACATCTACCCAATGATTTTGTTTGGCTAGGGAAATCCCATCCATATCAAGTTCCTCCAAATGATTGAGTTGAAACAACCACTCTAGATTTTCAACTCTGAATTCTCCCTTGGATCCAAGATAAAGGCGTTGCAAGTTGGTGAGGTTTCCAAACTCTGGAGGAATGGTTCCATAAAGAGAGTTATAGGAAAGGTCAAGAAAGATTAATTCTCTCAAGGAACCAATGAAGGTGGGAATGGTTCCATGAAAAGAATTTCTGGAAAGATCAAGATGATTCAAGTAGGTTAAGTTAAGCAACGATTGGCTTATCTCACCTACAAGACCATAGGAGTCAATATGAAGCCATGCGACTCCACTCCATTTACAGCAGTCATGTTGGTCAACTCTCCATGTAGAGAGATGACCATTGGGGTCTTGAAGGGGAGCTTTGAAAAGAAGGAGAGCATCTCTCTCATTATCCAAACACTGCATCATATCATCTCCTCCCAATTGGCTGGTAGTTGTAGTCATAAGGAGTAGCAAGATAAGTGGGAGAATTATAAAAACACATGGATTCATAATGTAAATGTAAATCTTGTTGATTATTGGATTGTATTGATCATGGGTTTATGTAGTCTCTACTGTGAAGAAGAATGATTCTTTAAATAAGTGGCTTGCTTGTGTGGAGTAATACAATACTTAATTTCCAGAAAATTGAAACCAAACTAGAAGACAAACTTAAATAAGACACTCAAAGACTTACCAAGTCTTGGCAATTTGTATTTATTATAGATGTGTCTTTCCCATCTTGTGATATTTTGCAATTTATATTTATATTTATTATTATTATTATTATTATTATTATTATTATTATTATTATTATTATTTGGAAAGAATGAGTTACTGTGAAGCTCTTAATCGATTTAGCTGTAGCATACAGGGGTGGTGGTTCTAATATTATGCCAGAAATACTCTTCTTTCCCATGTGGTCTCTTGAGGCATTTTATTTGATTATTTCTTCTGATACTCTTAGAAGCATTGAAGTTGATGTTTTTGGTGCATTTTGCAATCTAACTTTGTTACTCCAATAATAGTATCCAACTTTGGCAATTTTTCTATTTCCTGACCTAGTGTATGCCATTTTATTATTACCTGATTATATAAATAAAATACGTTTGAAGTATTTATGTATGTTTTAAGACAAGAAAAGATAAAACATGGAAAATATTAAAATTTTATGTGACATTACAAGTTAAATGCTCTTGTTAGGGCATTGTACTTTGAAAAATAGAGTAGCTCTGCAAAATCGCTTAGACTGCAAGGAGTACTTAAACCACACACTGCGCTGAGGTTGAGTTGGGCATTTCACCTCTCTCTCTCTCAACAGTAAGAAATGTATTTTTTTAATTCAACGGTCATATTATATACGTATATATTATTTTTAAAGCTTAATTAACTAGGAATAGAAAAGTATTATATTAATTAATAACTAATTTTGACTGATTCTATTTCAATTTAGGACTATTTTTAACCTAATTTTAGATAATGTAAAATGTTAATTGGTTCATAGTTTGTTTCGGTGTAACTTTATATCAGTTTCAGTCTTGTACTTATTGCAATTTAGGTTTGATGTAAGAACATCTTCAATGAAAGCTTATTTTATAACTTTTGAGTGTTCAATTGATCCCTTATCACTACTTACTATTATTTGAGGGTATTATTTTTTTTTGTTTATTTTTATTAATCATTCAATATATATCGAATTGAACGTTTTACACATCTAATCCTTTTTCTTTAATCATATTTCATTTTAACCCTTTAATTTTAATTTTATTTTAAATATTTTTTTTTATTTCTTTAACTAATTAATTATTTCTATTATAAATTTTCATTTATGAAACAATTATATTTTAATATCCAGTGATAACATTTATGTAAAATATTTCGTATTAAAATATGATGTGTTTAAAAAATGACTAACTAAATGAGAATGTTTTATAGAACATTTTAGATAGATGTGGATTAATATCTTAAATTAATTAAAAAGTTATTGGAACGTTTTATAAATGCTATTTAATTAGATGTCAAATTAATAGAACAATAATAAGGTGACACTAATGTTAAATCATAGTATATGTTTGCATGTGGAGATGCTTTGAGTGTAGTTTTAAGCCGAACATTAAACTAGAGGTTAGACTAATCGAACATTTAGTCTATTTTTTTAAACAAAATTTCAGATTGATTAAAGGTCGAATTCAGTTTTGAACTATTTGTTTATTTATAGGAACATTTCATTATCATAAATTAAACATCAAAACAACATAAACAAATGTTTTGTTACAACTTGTCATCTTGATTCGAGTTATTCATGTATAAATTATAATATAATATATATAAAAAAAGTTTCAAAAATCCATTGCTTGACTTTTAACATGACTTTACTCTTTATGGCTATAGACTTGTAGTTTGTTAAATTTCAATACTTGAAGGGTACAAAAAGAAAATTAGCAAGAAGATACCAACAAAGAGGAATAGAAGCAACAATAGGATTCACTTTATCGTCTTAATTCAAATGGCTGCAGCTTCTCTTCTATCTCTCTCTCTTCCCAAACCAACCATACTCATTCCAAAATCAACCGCTTCCACCATAACCACCCCTTCGGTTACCACCTTTACAGAGACGCTTGATCAGAAATTCGGCCGCAAAGGCATCAAATTCTCAGAGTTCGACGGAACTCAGATCGCAGAACTTACAGTCAGAAATGGCAGTTCGTTGAAGCTTCAATTGAACAATGCTCATGTCACATCTTACAAGCCTAAAGTAAACTGGAAAGATAATGATGGATTCGAAGAGGTTTTATATACTACTTCTGCTGCAAAAGGCGGAATCGGTTTGGTGATTAATTACGCTGATGATAATTCGACATCTAAAGGTGTTGATTTATCGGAATGGATCGTTAAGGATGCTGATTCCGATTCCATTGATGCTCTTCAGGTATTGTTCCTCTTTCGTTCCATCACCATTTTATTGTGTTTTAAATTTTTAAAACGTAAATTATGGTCTTCTGGATAATGTTACGCATTTAACACCTTTAATCATAATTTAAATACTTTTTTATTTTTGAACACGATAATATTCATGAAAAATAAGATTATTTAGTTATTTGTTAAATGAAGTATATATATCGGTGGATAATGCTACTATAATTTATGGTCCAAGAGTCAAGAGACCAGGACTCCTATTTAACTTTTATGTTTTTTTTTTCTTCGCTCTTTTTTACAACATCTAGTGGTTAAATTTAATTTTATGTTTGATATAATTTTAAATATTTCAAAAGCTTAAAATTTTCTTCAAATATTTCTATATAAATAAAAGCTTCAGTTTCTAATAGCAGATATTTTTGCCAAACATACTTTAAATTGTCTACAACGATCAATTATGTCAATTAATGTAACCAAAGTTTTTTTAAAAAATGATGTATTTCATAAAAAACTACACAAATATAATTACATGATTGATATTTTTTTTAACAATCCAAAATAACGTATATCAGTTTCACTTTCATTTTTACAGGTGGAATTGAGTTGTACCACAAGTGGAACTCTTGACATAACCTATGTCATCTCCCTCTATGCCCTAAGCATGGCAACCGCAGTTATAATAAAAAATAATGGCCGAAAACCAGTTGACCTAAAAACAGCTATACTTAGCCATCTAAAGTCTAAAAATAGAGGAGGAACTGCCATTCAAGGCCTCCAAGGTTGCAAATATTGCACGCAACCTCCTTTAACTTCTCAGTTTGAGATTCTCTCTCCATCCGAAGCGGTAAAACCAGAAGATCCAGCCTGGTTTTCCCTCGGGTGGGAGCCTGAGAAGAAAGGAGGAGTTTGGAGCGTGCAAGATTTGCCACTCACAATTTTGAAACATAAAGTTAGTAGAGTTTATGGTGCTCCACTTGAGGAGAGATTAAAAGAGTTCTACAACACTCCTCCATCAAAATACGAGACCATTGATCAGGTAATCTTTGATATATTTTAGAGTAAATTGAATTTTTTATGAATTTTAAAAGTGATATAAATGGTTACTTGGATTTTTAGGGAAGAGAATTGTTCTTCAGGGTGGTAAGAATGGGGTTTGAAGAAATTTATGTGTCGAGTCCCGGATCAGTATCGGAGAAATATGGAGAGGAATATTTTATTTGTACGGGGCCTGCAACTATGTTGGCTCCCATTACCATTGAACCGGGTGAAGAGTGGAGAGGGGCACAAGTTATCGAACATGATAACTTGTAATTTGTAATTATGTAATATATATAACTATATTTATTCTACAAAAAATTAAAAATATAAATGTTACAGTCCTTACTTTGCTTTTGTTTATGTAGATGTATCAATTGTATCATTAGTACAAAATTTTGAAATAAGTTGTTTGGATGCACTTTCTAAAAGATTGATTCTAAATATATATCTAAAAGAAGTTGCATTGTGCTACGCATCCACTTAAGTCATGTTTTATAAGAAGGGGTAATACGGGAAACTCAGCTAAATAAAAAGCACCGTGTTAGTGGAGGGATAATTTAGGTACTTAATTTACGTTAGTTTGTTGGGACAGAACTTATACGAGGATAGAGTCGTAGATGAAGGCTCTTATAGTCTTGGAAAGTGATGATCCTAAACCATGGCAGAAAGTGGTGTAATTGAGGTTCTTTTGGAACTTCTGAGATGCCATTTATGTGAGAGAAACTTGCTTCATTCATGTAAGTTCGCGATTTAGTTAATCTAAATGAGAATAGTTCATTTCATAGTCCCAAATAACATTGTTTCACTTTATTCAAGGGTAGATTTGTAAATGATTGCATTAGCTTTTTATTTGGGATTTATATCTAATAAATTGAGAACCAAAAACATCACAAGATGGGAAAAGATGAATATATATATATATATATATATATATATATATATATATATATATTAAATATAATTTGTAAAATATCAAAAGATGAGAAAAAGACATCAATAATAAATACAAATTGCCAAGACTTGTAAGTCTTTTGAGTGTCTTATGTAGTTTGTCTTATAGTTTGGTTTCAATTTTAGGAAATTAAGTATTGTATACTCCACACAAGCAAGCTACTTATTTGAAGAATCAGTCTTCTTCACAGTAGAGACTACATAAACCCATGATCAATACAATCCAATAATCAACAAGATTTGCATTTACATTATGAATCCATGTGTTTTTATAATTCTCCCACTTCTCTTGCTACTCCTTGTGGCAACAACTGCCAGCCAATTCGGAAGAGATGATATGAAGCAGTGTTTGGATAATGAGAGAGATGCTCTCCTTCTTTTCAAAGCTCCCCTTCAAGACCCCAATGGTCATCTCTCTACATGGAGATTTGACCAACATGACTGCTGTAAATGGAGTGGAATCACATGCAACAACCAAACAGGTCATGTCATAGGGCTTCATATTGGCTTGTATGGTCTTGTAGGTGAGATAAGCCATTCATTGCTTAACTTAACCTACTTGAAGCATCTTGAACTTTTTGGAAATTATTTTCATGGAATCATTCCCACCTTCATTGGTTCTTTAACTCGATTAAGGTACCTTGACCTTTGCTATAACTCTTTTTATGGAGCCATTCCTCAGGAGTTTGGAAACCTCACCAATTTGCGAGTGCTTTACCTTGGATCCATTGGAAATTATGGAGTTGAAAACATAAAGTGGTTGTCTCATCTCTATCATTTGGAGGAACTTCAAATGGATGGGATTTCCCTAGCTAAACAAAATCATTGGGTAGATGTAATTCTGAGTCTCCGGAAACTATCAATTTTAAGTTTAAATAGATGTGAGCTCTCACATGTCGTGTACCCATATTCTTCTTCATTTTTCAACTCTTCTTCATCTATTGAATCCATTTATCTTGGAAGCAACAATCTCACATCATCCATGTATCGTTGGTTGTTCCCATTAACAAGCAATAAGCTTCGTGTTCTTGATCTCTCTAGGAACATGTTAGATGGGATACCCAAATATCTTGGTAATCTCTGTAGTTTGGAAGCTTTGAGTCTCGATAACAACTCTTTAGTGGTTGAATTTGCTGATTTTCTCAACAACTTGTCTGGATGCGCATCACTTTCATTAAAAATGTTGTATGCTGCAAGAAACCAATTTACAGGGGCATTGTCCAGTGAGATCCAAAAGTTTTCATCCATAACATCTTTGGACCTATCTGATAATCATTTAAATGGAAGTATAAGTGAGAAACTGTGGGAACTACCTAGGCTTGAAACTATTGACTTGTCTTTTAATAATCTTAGAGTTCCTTCCACATATCACTTTTCAAACCTTTCATACGTAAAGTATATTGATCTGACCTCTTGCAAGCTGCTAGGGTCTCGCTTCCCCAAATGGATTCAGACATTCAAGAATCTTACCTTTCTTGATCTTTCCAATACTGGAATTTCAGATACAATTCCTCTGGAGTTTTGGGACATGTGGCCTTCTTAATTACATCATCTGAATCTCTCTTCCAACAATATTAGCGGGAAAGTACCAGATTTATCATCAAATTTTGCCCAGAGTTCAGTGATAGATTTGAGTTCCAACAGATTTTATGGTCCAATACCAAATGTTCCCTCCACTTTATCAACATTAAACCTTTCCAGAAACAAATTCTCCGGAGGGATCGCCTTTATATGCCAAATTGTTAATGGGTTCTTATCATTTCTTGACCTCTCTCATAACTCATTAACCGGACAACTCCCAGATTGTTTGTGGCTTTTCAAAGAACTACAAGTTCTTAATCCCGGACACAACAATCTCTTTGGAAGGCTTCCTCCCTCTATTGGATCTTTGATACAACTCAAGATGTTGTATTTATACAAGAACAACTTCTCTGGAGAATTGCCTTTTTCTTTAAAAAATTGCACGAGTTTAAAGTCGTTGAATTTAGGGGCCAATAAGTTTTCTGGTAATGTGCCTGTTTGGATTGGGGAAAGATTCTCAGGCTTGTACGTTCTTATCCTAAAATCAAACAACTTCTCTGGAACAATCCCTTTAAAGTTGTGTCAGTTAGCTAATCTTCAAATTCTAGACATGTCAAGGAACAATCTCCATGGAACTATTACCTCATGTTTGAGTAATCTTACAGGCATGGTTCAACAAGGAATTTCACAAGATGTACAACTTTATACAACATATGAACAAGAGACATATGTTGACCATGCAATGATTCAGTGGCAGGGAAATGAACATGAATTCTTTAGCACTTTGAAACAGTTGAAGAGCATTGACTTGTCAAGCAACAATTTAACAGGACGAATCCCAAATGAAATTACCAATCTTTATGACTTAATTTCCTTGAACTTATCAAAGAATGCTCTATTGGGAGAGATTCCACAGAAAATTGGTGAGATGAAAAATCTTTTGACTTTGGATTTATCTAGAAACAGTTTTTCAGGGAGGATACCATCAAGCATGTCTCAAATGAGTTTACTGAATGACCTAGACGTGTCATTTAATAACTTGTCAGGGAGAATCCCAACAAGCACTCAACTCCAGTCCTTTCCACCTTCAAGATACAATGGAAACACATGTCTATGTGGACCTCCTCTTACCAAAAAATGTCCTGGAGATGAAGAACCAGAAGAACCATCTCTTATTGGTAAAGGTGAGGGTGATGAGGAAGACATAGATGAAGTTGAGAGATGGTTTTATATTGGTGGTGGGACTGGTTTTGCTACTGGATTTTGGATAACATGTTCAGTTTTGCTTTTAAATCAACGCGGGAGACATGCTTTTTTTTCAATTTTATGATAACGTAAAGGATTGGGTTTATGTAAAGGTGGTGGTGTTCATTGAGTATTTGCAAAAGTAGTGTCATATAAGTTTTATATTTTCACTTCTTATTTTTCATTGTGTATTGTAATGTCACTTGGCAAGGGGTTTTAAGTCCCCAATATCAATAAATTTGCCACTAACACCATGGCTGGCTATTTTCCTTGTGTTGTATAAGATAAGGCATCCTAGAAGGAAATTAGAGGTGCAAAAAAAGATGAAACAATTTTTGAAGTATTTGAAAAAGATGAAATATTTAATTATTTATATATTTAAATAGTTTTTAATTTTAATAAAACTACAATTAAATAAAAATATAGTCATTTCTTCATGAAATGCACTATTGTCTTTATCATGCATCATCAACTGAATCGAGTAACAAATGTTCAGAAACAAAGTTGTTTCAATTTACTTTTCTTTTAACATCAGGGAATGTAACATCCCATATTGGCTTGGCTTCCATACAAATACAACACATGACCAAACCTCTACCTATTGACTGTTAAACACCTCTGAAACTAGATTATCTATCTTAACACATACTCGAAGAAACGAATCATAAGATTATGAGTATTTTACATTTTGGCCCCCGATTATAGCTCATTTTCCAAATTTTTGCAATTTTGGTCCTTGTTTGAGGTTTTTGTAATGTTGTTGGTCCTTATTCTAAGTAAAATGCGTATATTTTGTTGGAGGAATGTTATTTAGTGGATTGGAATGAAAGAAGTTCTTGAAGTTTTATGGTTTTTCCCGTTTTATTTAATAGAAGTTCGTCCTCTCTTCTTATCTTACATTTTTCTTGTTATTGTCTTAATTAGTATTCTTATCAACTCTCTTTTGGGAACAAAAAAAAACCTTTTTACTTGGAAAAAACACCAAAAGCGTCAAATAAGGACCAAAATTGCAAGAAAATACTTTATGGGACCAAAATTGCAAAATCAACTATACTCGAAGACCAAAATTATAATTTACTCTAATTTTAATAACATAAAAGTAAGTTATATTTTTAGTCACTAAGTGTAGTCGATTTTTACTTATTCCCAAAAAAATCTAGTTGAAATTTTGGTCCTTATTTATGGCTTTTGTAACATTTTTTGTTACTGTCCGTAAAATGAAATAACTATTTTGGTCCCTGACTATAGCCAAATTTTGCAATTTAAATAAAAATATATAGTCATTTTACTTGGAACAGGACCAAAAATATTGGTTAAACCTCAAATAAGAACCAAAACTGAAAAGAAAAAAAAATTGGGACCAAAATTGAAAAATCAGATATACTTAGGCACAAAAAAGTAAATTACTCTAAGATTATTAAAACTAGTGTAGGGACTCATGCTTCGCATGGGTTGGAAATCATTTTTATTGCTATAACTAGCCATATATTTTTAAATACAATACTCTGATAAGCAAAATTAAAAGTACGGTTCTCTAATAGACAAATAAGTAAAAATAGCATCAATTAGAAATAAATTACAATAGTGCCTTCCAATTCCAAAGCCTCTTGGATCAGCAAACACATTTTATGTTGAAGGTCATCACTAGCCTGATAGAATCATGTTATTGTCTAGAACAAGTTAGCATGTTCTAGAATGATCTGGAAGATTCTAGAACATTATGGAATTCTATGGAGAAGTCTAGAAGATGCTAGAAGATTCTAGAGTACTCTAGAATGAGATGGAAGACCCTGGAAGGCTATGGAACATTCTAGAACACGATGGAAGGCACAAGAATGTCTATACTTATCTAGGACATTATAGAATATTCTAGAAACATATATAAGATTGTAATTGATATAGAATATGGTAGATAGTTCCAGAATAGTCATGAATCTATGTAGATCTAGAAACTTCCTATAAGGAGGTGGAAACACCTATAAATAGGTGTGGAGCTCATTTGCTCCAAATCAATCCAACATCTAAGTATCCAAGAAAAGCCTCCAAGTAAGAAAAGTGTGTAGTAGTCTCACAAAGTGTAAGATCTTCTTAAGTGTCTTAATAAAAGTCTTGTTGTTTCCCATACAAAGAGTCGTGTTCAACAATCTGGTATCAGAGCAAGGTTTGTTGATAGTGAGAACGAGTGATTCTCGTTGTATCGTGAGTAGTTTGTGATTCTGCAAGTTTAGTATCGAAACTAGCTTGTTTGGTATTACCGAGGTACTGCCAACACGATGGGTGATCTCCAAGTCGTCGGAGGAATCAAGAAACTCAACAACAACAACTACAAAACGTGGGAAACATGTATGAAGTCCTACTTACAAGGACAAGATCTATGGGAGGTCGTCGGTGGAAGCGAAACTACGCCACCAGAGGAAGACGTTAATGGTGCTTTGCGCAAATTGAAAATCAAAGCAGGCAAAGCAATGTGTGCCTTGAAGACCACAATCGAAGAAGAGATGTTGGAGCATATTCGGGATGAGAACACCCCGAAAGAATCTTGGGACACGTTTGTGACGCTTTTCTCAAAGAAGAATGATACGAGACTACAACTTTTGGAGAACGAGCTATTATCAATCTCACAATGTGACATGACGATTGCTCAATATTTCCACAAGGTCAAGTCGATATGTCGGGAGATTACTGAACTAGATCCGCAATCCGTCATTGCAGAAGCTCGAATGAAGAGGATCATTATCCATGGACTGAGGTCGGAATATAGAAGCTTTGTTACTGCTATACAAGGATGGCCCGCTCAACCATCACTTGTAGAGTTTGAGAATTTGTTGTGCAGCCAAGAAGCTATGGCTAAGAAAATGGGTGGCATCACGCTGAAAAGTGAAGAAGAAGCACTCTACACAAGTAAAAGTCGAAGGAATTTCAAGCCACCTTCTAAAGAAGCATACAAAAATGCTAACAAAGCGTAGAGTCAACAAGGAATCTCACAACCATGGAGATCTCAAAAGACCAACAATAAGAGTTCTCGGGGGAGGAGGTTCAAAGGCAACTGCAAAAATTGTGGAAAGTGGGGCCACATGTCCAAGGATTGTTGGTCAAAGAAAAAGTCTGTGGAAAGCAATGTAGTAACTTCCAAAAAGGAAGTAGATGATGAATGGGATGCTGAGGCACTATGTGCTATAGAAGAGAATAAGACTAAAAGAGGAAGGCTAATGTGTTGGATTAGTGTCTAAGTCCATAACTATTTTGGTATGTACTTGACCCGATGGTGCATGGTCCTTTTGGGTTGCCTTCACCAAAGCAACTTGATAGGATGAATTATGGAGAGAAAGGATTAAATATGATTTATTAATATATTATGGGAATAATATATTAAAAGAGAAATCATATTGTTTAATTAATATTAGTCAATAATTAATTGGTAATTAGTTTTGTGACTAAAAGAGATTAATTAAACTTAAGGGAATTGAATTGTAATTATAAGATAATTATAATTTGGGCCATGGATTGCCTTATATTAAGGGATGGACGAATTCTAATGGGAAACCCATAAGGAAATCGTCCATGGGCTTAATGTAACACCCCCCTGGCACGTATCACAATATTGTCCGCTTTGGGCCACTCGGCACGAGGACTTCCCAGGGGGTCACCCATCCCGGTACTACTCCCGCCCGAGCATGCTTAACTGCAGAGTTCTTATGGGATCTGCTGCCCACACGGCTTTAAAACGCGTTGTGTCAAGGAAAGTATCCACACCCCTTATAAGTAGATGTTTCGTTCTCCTTCCAAGCCGATGTAGGATCAGGTGCAACCCACCTTCACCCCCCATTATAGGGTTCGACGTCCCTGTCGAACACATCGACCCGTGCCCTGGCTCTGATACCATTTGTAACACCCCCCTCTAGCACGTATCACGATATTGTCCGCTTTGGGCCACTCGGCACGAGGACTTCCCAGGGGGTCACCCATCCCGGTACTACTCCCGCCCGAGCACGCTTAACTGCAGAGTTCTTATGGGATCTGCTGCCCTCACGGCTTTAAAACGCGTTGTGACAAGGAAGGTATCCACACCCCTTATAAGTAGATGTTTCGTTCTCCTTCCAAGCCGATGTAGGATCAGGTGCAACCCACCTTCACCCCCCATCGGCTGGGAAGGAGAACTAAGCATTCCTTATAAGGGGTGTGGATACCTTCCCTATCACAACGCGTTTTAAAGCCGTGAGGGCAGCAGATCCCATAAGAACTCTGCAGTTAAGCGTGCTCGGGCGGGAGTAGTACCGGGATGGGTGACCCCCTGGGAAGTCCTCGTGCCGAGTGGCCCAAAGCGGACAATATTGTGATACGTGCCAGAGGGGGGTGTTACAAATGGTATCAGAGCTAGGGCATGGGTCGATGTGTTCGACAGGGATGTCGAACCCTATAATGGGGGGTGAAAGTGGGTTAGATCTGATCCCACATCGGCTGGGAAGGAGAACTAAGCATTCCTTATAAGGGGTGTGGATACCTTCCCTATCACAACGCGTTTTAAAGCCGTGAGGGCAGCAGATTCCATAAGAACTCTGCAGTTAAGCGTGCTCGGGCGGGAGTAGTACCGGGATGGGTGACCCCCTGGGAAGTCCTCGTGCCGAGTGGCCCAAAGCGGACAATATTGTGATACGTGCCAGAGGGGGGTGTTACACTTAATTAAAGGAGTCTATGGGTTGTTTAGGGCTTAAGCATCCAAATTAGGGTTTCCTTGTTAGATAACCCTAATAGCCCAACTATATAAAGACCCCATAAGGCTCAAAAACGCGGCTAATGATCTTGCTAGGGTTTCTACATGTTTTTGATAGCCTCCATCCTCTCTCCTCTTCATCCTCTTGCTTATGGTGTTTGTGAGCCATTAGAGGAGTGACACTTGTGACTCTAACCCTTCCAAAGTCAATACAAGAAGATTTGGGATTGTTATTGCTACATAACAATCAAGGTAACATTATAAACATATTCTCATGTTAATATGATTACTTGTATGTTAGAATTAGGGTTTATAGTCTTGGATTCAAAGCATGTACAATAGAGAAACCTAGATCCAAGCATTAGGGTTTGTAT